GAATATGGTGGGACGATATCACTAAGGTTCCCAACTTAAGCGAAGTCACCGAACAGGTACTTCTTTTTCTCCCCTCCTTATTTCGAAGTGGTGGTTCTTGCCATGTCTATTTTATCAGTGATCAGGGATAATCATTTTAACTGAACCTGTGTGATATCTGCAAAATGCGCATTCACAAACGTTTACGAACTGCACCAGGTTGCATGACAACTCGTTAGGAGGCGATAAGGTCTAATCGTTTAGAGCTTCAGTATGCTGCGATTTATCACACCATTGTTATTGGCAGTTGCAAGCTCCGGATACGAATGTTCGTCCATGGAGAGACGGAGAGCGCTAGATAAATTTATTGAAGTGTCCAACGGTCACGTAACAGTAATGAGTTTGTTGGAGGAACTAGAAGTCAATGAGTAGTTTCAACGCAGCAATTCACATTCGCCTGTAAAAATTCATTAAGTGAAAATTATTTCAATTAGGATGTGCAGATTCTTCGTTTCACGTAGCAATACAAGAATCATTTTCAGATGGAAATGAGTCAGAAGACCAAGACAAACAATATCCTGCTTCAGATGCCGCATACTTCGCCAGAACCATCAAAACTTGGACAGGTATTCTAAAGTAGCAAATTATGCTGTCCACAGTCTGCATAGAGGACGACAAACAATCCAATAACCATTCTTTTGACATCATTCGTTTTAACTTTCGATATGTCTAATATCAGGAAACGAATAATACTTTTGATTTGGAAACGATGGGATGATATGAAGCTTAATTTCTGACAAGATCAGGAAAGGAAAATGTGTATGACTCCATATATGACTAAGGCTTCCATTTCATAATATGAGGAAAAAGTTTACCCCCAGTGATAAATTGACAATCAATTATGAATAATTTAGGTCTTATTGAAATTATTTCAAGTCTTCAGCTAAATGTTCTGATACAAATCCGCAGGGGAGGCGGTTCTCTCACAAATCTGTAGGAAGTGCTGCATCAATTTGAATTACTTAACTAGTATTTATGCTGTACCTGTACCCTACATATGCTGTCACCAGTTTAGTTCACTGCTAAAGATAGACAAAATGTTTCTAATGCTTTTGTGATTTGCAGAGCATAATATGAACAACCTGCTATGCAAGTTCGCTGCGAAATAGAAAAAAAGATCTACCGAATAATCAGTTCCAATATGACGTTATTGTATAGAGCGCAGGGTGTCATGAATATTCGACAGAATTATGAAATTGCATGCATACCATTTTAAAAATATTATTCTGTCAAATTCCAGCATTTTTGCGCCAATTTCAGGTTTTCAAGCGTTCTTTCTTCATGTAAAGCTGGCAGCTCTCACCGTTGCCTTATCTTGTCGTAGGCGAGCCAACGTTGAAACGATTAAATCGGCAAAATTGTTATGGGTTACTAGGTGATTGCTTTAGAATTATCAAATTCATTGCAGCATTGCACATGTCTGTGAGCACTACAGAAAATCGGTTGTTCTACGTTAGAAACATTTCTAGAAACTCAGTCACTGATCGTTAAATTGCTTTGCTGTGGCCTTATCTACTTTCTGTTTCACCATCATTCGTCAATTTATTTCAGATGATTTAACATTATCTGAAATATTTCAGATAATTTATTTCAGATGATTTAACATTAACTCCGCCATGGCCGGTCCCAAGCCCGGATGAGAAAGGAGGAGGGTTGGAGACCGTGGCAAGTC